AATTTATAACTTATAATATAATAAGTATATAACTTTAAATATTTATTTTAATAATTTTTATTATTATTATTTGTGTGMGTCATTGTACACATTCGTAATGAGATCTCGAAGGTATTTGTTTTCATTCGATTACTATGCATAGGTATACATTTGAGCGGGGACGTAATTTTTTATACATAATTTTTTTATACATATTTGATCCATTAATAATATATACTATAATTTTATTATTATACGTAACATAGAACAAAACAATACTAATGAATATTGATAACATATTAAAATATATTAGTATATGTAACGATAAATAAACACTACGAAGGTAGTGGAATACATGTTATAATGAYATCATACATAAATGTATATAATAATATGTTATTCTTTACTCGATATAATATTTATGGTCAAATGACTGCACAGAAAATTCAGTTTTTAGTTGGGATGGCACAGTGCACATTTTCACAAATTATAGGATGCAAGAACATTAAAAATATTTGATATAACGTCGTAATTATATTAAATATAAATCTTAAATATTATTACATCATGTATTATATTTCATCGGCATCGTTCGTTGTCATTATTACACAGTATAGGTTGACCCATTTGATGTAAGCCACTTATTAACTTTTATGTTTTTGAAAATATTTCCATTACATTAAGAACTTACAAATAWAATTTTTGAAAAACAATTATTTTTGCTAATTTCTATCAAAGTAATTTTTTAAAAGTTTTTAGTCTTCTAAATGACTACGTAAATTTTTAATTTGATATTTCTAACTCCTAAGCAAACATTATTTTGGAGTATTTGGAGTATCTGATTTCACCAAAGTTGATCATTAGCTATACGAGTATATATATAATAGTAACTGTTATGAGTATTTACATTTTAGATAAACGGAATAGTGGTCCAACATTTTTCAAAGTACCACACTGGCCAATTCCACTCATCTAGTAATCATAAAATCTTCTTTTTGGTTTTTTACAGGTCTTCGGATTTATTGTCGCAACAAAATACTGCCTCCACTCTTATTTTTTTCTGCATTCTTTACTCTCAATATCTTTAAATTATACTCTACTCAAAACATTCACTKTATTAAGATTTTCTTTTGAGTTTCTTTGTGATTTGGATCAATGGTATTATTAGCCCTTCTCCATAATTATATAACCTATCTAAACTTATTCTTGTACTTTTCATAGTTTCAATAATACTTGGTTCGTATTGTATAGCTCTTTATAACTTTCATTGATCTCAAAATTATTGTCATTAATTTCTTTCTCTCAAATATTTCTAACTTTTTTCAACTGATTTTATTTTTGCCTATTGTAATACATGTAATGTATACATGTATGTGTTTGACTTCCTTGATATCAATAATGATATTAATTAATAGTAGTCCCTGTTTGCTGCCATGAGCTGTCTTATTATTTCTTCATGAATCGTGGCTATAAGTATTTTCATTAATACCTAATCCCAAGTATGTACTTCAATTTCTTGGCTTTATAACTTTTAAATAATTTTTTCTTTGGTTCAGTTACACAGTATGATTTTGTCTTCAGCTCAATACTAACTTTCAAACCGATTTCTCTCTCTTCATTCAAAAAAAAATTACTGTATTGTTTAATTCACCTTCCGTTTAGACTATTTAAACATAAACAGTTAAACTCAAAAACTGTTCGTCTGAAATTCGTTTGTATAATGACAAATTAGATACTCCAAAAAATACTCTGCTTTGGAAGAAAATATTGAAAATTCATAAAAAAACAATATATTTATTTATATATGTTTATTACAATAAAAAATAAAAATAACATAATTGTATACAGAAAATTATAGTTTCTTAATGACCTAAAATTAAGGAAAAMATATTTTCAAAAACAACAAAAGTTGTTTAGATAGTAAAAATCTTATATTAATTGAATCTCTTATTATAGTAAGTTACGAGTTATGACGATATTCAATTATTTTTATTTTTGTTTAACTGTTAGATTAATTCTTCGATTACATTTAGAGTGCTCGACGACTTCACATAAAATATAAATTAATAATGATAAACACGTGGTATGATATTTGGAGAAATTACCCACTTGTTTAATATAAATTAATATCAATTAAAATAAATCATAGCAGCTAGTGCCTCAAAAAACGTATAGGTACTCCAGGAATAAAATTTAAGAGACTTTTGATTTGAAATCTATTCAGATTCGGTCGAGACATCATGCGTCAAAATTATTAGTGATTGGAATGTTCKTTCAAACTCAATTTCACAATGATCGTGTGCTATCGTATTTTGTGTACCTATAATAATATAATAATATATTAATGTGGGGAAACGCCTCCACCATTTTCATAGAAATTCTTAATCTGATGAAGTTTGTAAACTAATATAATAGACCGCGCAATACATCCTAATACGTACTTGAGTATAATCAAATATGACGTATAACATATTTATGATATTTAATTCGAACGAGGAAACCAAAACTATTTCAACAATTAATTTTTGTCTCCCTTTAAGTATATCCCGAAAAACAATTTATCTAGGTACATAAACGTGGATACCTTCGCAGGAAATCCAGTTTAAGTATGAATTTTTATAATTTATTAAATATTCATGAACGTGGTCGTTTCACTTTAATATAGGAAAAAACGATACTAAGAAATGAGTTTCAAATGTTATTATATTATGTGTTATATTATTTTATTTTGTTCAAATTCCTGAAAATACATAGAATTCCCATGTAATGACCAACCTTGGGCGAGTTGATAAATAATTTTAAACGGTTTAAGTTCAAAAATAAATAATTTTTAAATTGATCGGATTTCCGCTTTACCATTTCATGGATTGACAAGAAAAAAGKTGTTATAGGTTTTAAGCTGTTCTTCTATATTTTTGTCTAAGCTTTATGATATTTCTAGAAAGCATAATATGCAAATTAATTAGTGTTAGAAAAATAACTGAAAAATAAACCGTATTTTTAGGATTAAAACAATATTAATTCCATATGTTTGACAAGGTCGGCTAAGTATTTCGGCGAAGTTGCTTGTTTTTCACGTGCAAGAGTTTTAAATCGTCAATATTCCTCATATTCACAGGTCATCATATCAATTCAATTTCTATTTCATGCAAGTAATATACATTGTGTGCGTCTGAAAAATGTTTTGTTATTATATTACTGTTATGGCACTTCCTGACAGATCTTAAATGAAGTCTATCTTATTTTAAGAAAATATTTATAGATAACTACTCTTCCAATTAGGTAACAATCAATAAGTAATAAATATTCAGATTCACAACATTTTTTAAAAACATTTGTATCCCATTTCTAATGATCTCAAAATCCTATCWTTGCTTTAAGTGCAATAAATTATCTTGACTATGAATAGTTTTAGCCAGTGTGTTCGACAGTGATACTATTACTTACTCTGACGGATAGTACATTTGTGAAAAAAATTACCCTATGTCTAACATCTATAACAGCATAGACGTGCGAACGGGTATGTAGGGCATGCACTTGAATATCTTGTGCTAGCAACGTTCAATTTTGTTTAAGCGCATATGAACTATGAACATATACCAAAATATGTCATTTAAAAAAAAAAAATATTTAAGTACGATTGATGTTTATGGATTAATTAAACGATACGATAGCAATTATCCATACCTAGCCTTATTCAATAGACAAGTGTTAATAAAAAATAACATTTTAATCTTGGTGATAAAACAAATTTTGAAGAACCTATCATTCTTATGTATATTATTAATAAAACAATAATAATTTTAATGATAAATATTTCCCTGGCAATTGTATGCCCATTTAGGAGCATTTTTATCAGCCAGATTAGTTTTTGCATGCCTGTGGTCCATAGTTATATATTACGATATTATAAATACAAAATAATATAATTTTGTGGGTTTTAAGTATACACTTCACAGTCTACGAGTCCTTTATATAAATGAAAAATCTATGGTATCTTTCTGCATACGATCTGGCCCGGTGACTGCATATGAATGGGTGGATAGTGTGAGTGTCGGAGATCACACGAATGAATTTTCGCGTTTTGTTGGACAGAACTGCACCACGGAACCGGCAGACCCTTCGGCAACGTGTGTTTCCCTAACCGATGACATCTTGACGGGTCGTTGAGTGGGTGGCTGCAGMTGCTGAGTTGCAAAACGTTGCTGCTGCTGAACAGGTCGCCGCTGCTGAGCCGTATGCTGCTGAAGCTGAGACCGCGCGGCGTGTACGTATATGGCACCAATTGTCTTTCGGTTACGATCGCAACGATCTTTGTCGTTGTTGTTGTTGTTGCGCTTGAACAAGGCTGTGGTGCCAGCCCGACCACCGCGCAGGTACCTCACCGAGTTGCTGTAGTCAAACGCTTGGCAAATCTTGCCGGACAACAAGGCCCGGTAACCATCCCGAAACCTATGGTTAAAGATGGCGTACAACAGCGGGTTAATGGACGAATTGGCGGCACCCAACCACTGTGCAACCGGAAGTGAGGCGACAGTATAGCTCTCGACGGCTGGTGGTAGCGGCCAGAACTTGATCAGCGAGAAAGCCACGTACAGTGGTAGCCACGACACAGCGAACAGCACCACCACGTACATAATCATGGTGATCACCTTCATCTTGGACCGCTGCACCATGTTGGCGCCGTTGTGCATCGGCTCACCCGGCACCTTGCGTCTGCTCACCTTCTGCCAGATGAACATGTAACACACTGCGATCACCGTCAGCGGCAGCACGTAACACAGCAACAGGTTGGCCAGGACAAAGTACAGGTTTCCGCTCTCCACGGTTGGCCAAGATTCCAGGCAGATCTATAAAAACACAAGCACGATAATATTATTATATTATAACTGTGTTGTTATCAGTTTTTGAAAAAAATACTCTATAAGCGGATTTAGGCATGTATTGTCACGACAATATATTATTATGATTAAAAGGGTGTCCGTTATGGAGTCTTAGTCTTACAAACATTGGTTACAACGTAAACGATTTTATTGGGGTTTTTTTTTTTTTTTAATGTTTAATTTAAATGTTCATAAAAATGTATGTTATATTTCAGTGAACATTTTTTTATTAAAGATAAGAAACTCATGGATAATATTTTATTAAAATATTTAGTTATATCTGTGAAAATAAAAACTTTTATGAATTTCTAACTGAAAAATAATTTGCGAAATTTGAGTTTAGAATACCTAGTACAGTAGTACCTACATACAGAAATAAAAATCGTGTTTATGTATTATCTTTAATATTTTTGAACTGCTATTGAATAATTGTTGATGATATTGCATTAAATTTTCAAAATTTTTTCCCAAGTGAAAATGGCGTATTGGAAATTACGATTTAATAGCAATATATAAAATKTTGTATCTAAAAAAAGGGTGTGGTGAATGGACAAACTTATAATATGTCAAATAAATTTCATCGATCCAAAAAACAAATGAAAACGATTAGGTAGCAAGTACGACACATGCCTCATTTTGTTCAATAAATTAATAATATATAACCAAGGAAGTTTGTACACTTTACTACAGCATTTAAATTATTTATAATGGKCTCGAAGAGAGAAACATTATATAGATCTAATGGCTATAAAATAGTAGATTTTATTATAGTTTGCATAAAAAATAAAATAGAGTATCATATATTATAAAAMAATTTGTAATCATATTAAAAAATTTTAATATAAACCGCAATACTGAAATTCTTCTAGTCATTCTCTTAMACTGTAGACGTTATACCCATCATATCAAACTTCAAATTGGGGTTAATCTAAGTATAAATTGTAAACTGTATAAAATGTACACTGTTTTATATAGTTTTTATATTTTATATAAAAAAACTGGTTATAACGAACATCGGTTTTACTTAGAGCATGAAAACTAAAATTTGCAATGCGTAAGTTAATAAAAATAATAATAATATGCTTTATAATATAATATATTGATATAGCAGAATTTACAACTATAAATTGACATACGTTTTTATTTTTAGAATTTCTTAAGCTGTAAGAATATAAGTTATTTTTTACTATGTTAAATGCAGTTAAATGAGTTTACCCTATCCAAATTTTTTGTAAGTGTTTTATGTCAATGTGGTATGCATGAATACCCTGCCAGTAATGTCTGTGGAGACTTATGACTGCATGTTCACATAGGCATAAGCGTRCCCAGACATTATCCACAGCATAGACGCATATATGCATTACGCATTCTTTCACTCATCATATTATGTAAATTATTGTGGTTTATTAGTTTGGATAAAATATTATATGAGTTATAAATAAAATAATAAAATTAGCACCACCTGAATTTCATACCAATGTGCGCCTATGATCCGTAGGGTAGTCATAAATAATATTACTATATATATAAGTATTTAAAATATAGGTATACTTAAGTTCTATTCCGATGACATTTGAGGATGGAGTGTAATTTTTTTAACTTGCACTAACCAGTAACCATCACTAATACATTCAAACACATTTTTTAGTCCCTATCTTTATAAAATACATAATATAGTATAACTAAAATATGTTTACAGAGTAATCAAATGCCTACCCTGAGCACCCGTGCGTACGTTTATGCACTTGGGTAAAGAAATAAGTATATTTATTTATTTAAATATACTAAAAACTACTTTTATCTATAATATTATCTAGATAAAAGTTAGATTATCTTTATCTTATCTAGATGAAATTTTCGTTATCTATTCCTAACACTGAATATAACAAGACAATTTTCTATGATATTACATTATAATATCATATTATACTAAACAACATTGTTTAAACGTAATTTATTATGATTTATATAATTTATTTTTATTTTATTTCATATTTTGTACAGCAGCCATATAATAGTTATAAAAATCAAAATTTAAGGTGCGTATAATTGAATCATTATTTTCGATAATTATTACAGCAAGTAATAAAAATGTAATAAATTATCGGGTGGATATTTGAAAGTCAGAAACGACCAGAAACACGAACATCAAACGCGAAGCACGCAATCGACGAAAATCATAGTTATGTACTCGTACCTATACGGACTATACATAGTTAAGATTGTTTTATTATTTATTCTCGTGTTAACTTTCTTATTATAGTATGGCCTCTTTTTTTTAGCGGAAACTTATTTTTTATTCTCATATTACAATCATTATCATAGATATTTTTAAGCGACATTAAATATTGCAATTTAACAATATAAATTATTATTTATATAGATACTTTCTATACGATATCAACCTCAAACGTTTACTCGACTTATTACTTTTTTCACTGATTGTTGTAGGTTATGTAAATTCATTCGAATAACGTGGCTCTTGAATATTGATAAATTCCTTATATTAATATATTAATATCTGTAATATTGTGTACAATACAAAATTATTACTCACAGAATAACTCAAATCACTTGAAAAACATTAAACGAATTATTTAAATATTCAAATTAAATTAATCTTGAAGAATAATAACTTTTGTGTACGTGATGAAATTACAGTACAATAATCCAAACATAGCTTTAAGTATAATGTTGTATTCAGAAAGGTTGTGTCACAAAAATTGATAAAAAAAATATAGTATAATATAGAATTTAAAATTTATTTTATTTACACTTATATTTTAAATAAGAAAAATTTGATTGTTTGTTTGTATTGAATAGGTTCCAAAACTACTGGACCAATTTGAAAAAAATTTTTAGCATTAGAAGCCAACATTACCTCTGATGAACCTAGGCTACTTTTTACCGCAGTAAAATGCTTCATTCCTACGTGAAAACGGGTAATAGGACAACGGGTAGTATGAATTTTTTTCCGTACTTATCTTTTCCACATAACTTCTAAACGGCTTAACCGATTGGGTTGAAATTTTATATGGATATTTCAATGGTTTTCTGAATTATTTTAAGAATATAATTTGACCCGGTAGGTGGCGCTGCTGTCAGTATGTCAACTACTAAACGGCTTAACCCTGAAATGGAGTATTTGTACGAAAAGGACATTCATTGGTTGTGTTTGAAAGAAATAGTGTCACCTAGGAATGATACGATCAACGAAATAAAAATCTTATTTTACAAAAAGTGCTTGATCAAATAAAAAACTACAAATCGATCGGCACCGTCACGAACTCGAAAACGCAGTCCATTATCCACAGGAATTTTCACTTCTGAATCCTTCTGGACTGCCACCACACGAATTGACGTTAAAAATAGGATTCTAATCATCATGATTTTGAGAAATTTAAGCGCTCCGAGTATGTGCAATGGAACAAGACTGTTTATTAAAGTATTAAAGATTACATAAACAATTTAATTTTAGCGATCATTATTACCAGCCCAGCTGCTGGTCATATAACTCATATTCCGAGGATACCGATGATCCCAACTGATCTACCAATACCGTTTCAACGGCTTCAACTTCAGGTAAAAATGTCTTTCGCATTGACTATTAACAATTTTATTCCCGAGGTCAAACCTTCGAACCTTAGTAGGGATCGACGAAAGAAATGTTTTACTCGTGGCCAACTATATGTTGGTCTATTAAGAGTTGGATCTGCAGATAATCAATTTATTTTGCTGATACAAAGAAAACCAACATCAAATATCGTATACAGAGAAGCTCTAACCCAATAAATTTAATAATATATGATTCAATATGATTTAATGATATATTGTTCAGTACATACATACATATAATAATATTACATCAAATACATAAAAATGTCGTGTCTCAGTGTTTATTATTGAACAATATTTTGGGATTCACGATAGAAATTTTTGTTTATAAAAAGTTTACACGGGTTTTAAAACTACAGTGAAACCTCTAAATACCGGACACTCTCGGTCGCTTAAATGTCGTCCGCTATTAAGAGGGGAAATACAATGAGTACACATTTTACCGTTCCCAAAATTTCGTCCGTTATTTGGAGGTATCCGCTATTGAGAGGTGTCCGTTAAAGGAGGTTTCACTGTATTATAATAATAATTATTGGTTTCCGTCAATTTAAAATGGCGGATATTGATTAAAGGAGAAATAATTTGTATAAATTAGTATTTTAAAGTAATCTGAGTTGTATTAATGTATAGATATACTATATTGATATACTACTTGATATATTATCGCACTTTGTCCACGAACCGACATAGTCGGGTTGCTTAATAGGGTGGCTGAATTGCACTTACTGCTGCAAATTATATCCAAAAAAAAATTGAATAATCACAATTTTTTAAAGGGTTGTAATTTTTAAGGGCAACGAAGTGCATGGGTTCAGCCAGTTGTAATAATAATAAAATGTATTTAATATTTTAAATGTCACGCGTTTTGAGTGATTATGATAATATTAAATATTATTCAAAAGTATTTACCTATATTATTTAATAATTAATTCCAAAAGGGTATAAATAGTTAGTGCTATATATTATCATTGATGATATTCTGAAAAATTAYGCGAGTTTTAAACTGATGAGTCTGTTTTAAGCTATAAATATAAATCTGAAAAGTGCTGATATTACAGAAGTCGAATAGCCCTACTATAAATGATGTCTTGATTATAAAACAATGATAAATCACTGAATCTGAAAATATAATCTGATTCAAACTAAATTTTATAAAATGATCAATATATTTTGAATTAAAATTCCGCTTAGCTAATACATTTTAAGAAAAAAAAAATATTAGAATATTAATAAAATCTAGGTGTCTAATATAATATTTTATAAAACATATAAATGYCCAATTTATAAAATGTATTAAGATTTTGTATACTCATCGTAATTCGTAAAATGCATTCCACGTTCTGACTAAACTAGTTTTACATTAGTTATTAAATTTATTTTATTAACATAGATTTTAATTATTTTTTAAGCATATTATATTTTTTATTTTATTTTTTTATTTAAATACAATTCTCGTTTTCACTAACATTCGGTTATATACCAGTGGATAATTTACTGGGTAAAGAAAATGATGACGATGATTATTAAAGTTACTAAAGCTTGTGTACGTTGTGTTATAATAAGTTTTGAACGATGATACATTCCGTAAATTTAAGTCTTTAATTTCTAGTGAAACATATTCATAAATAATCAGGTGGAAAATAAACAACAAAAAATATATGTAATACATATTCGTAAGGCTACAGAAAGTAATTTGTAAGATTATGAAAGCAAGCCACATGGTCAAGATGTATAGCAGCAATATTATACTGGCCAGTACATCCTTCATTTCCAACAAAAGAGATGAGTGGATGCACCAATACATAGTAGGTATAAACTATGCTATAATATTTCAAAATATAAATGTTGCGGTATATATATTACACTGTATTATGATTGTCGTCATGATTATAAATATTTAGGTTTTAATAGCGATATGTGCTAATATTGTGTACTATTATTACTGTGGAAGCTTATARAATATTATGTGTCACAATAACAAAATAAGAAAAAAATCTAAACTTTATTAGTATGTAGATACGCAGCAGACAATTAATATTCGTAAGTCGATAAAAATATACTATTTATATAATGATTAACAAATGTTTTAAACAAAAAAATATGTCATAATACCAAAGGTATTTTAAACATTTGAGTGACTCCTTATTTTAATGTTATACGGTAGTTGATAGATTGGGAAATTATCGCTCTCCATTATTTTATCTGTAATATATACTATAAAATAAAAAAATACGTGGGTACACATTTTATTACAACAAAAAATTGTTAATTTAAAATAATGTAACCTGATTATCACTGCCTTCCTCCATGGGCTGCAAGTCAAAGTATATTGCCCATGGCATAGTGATGGTAAGCGAAATGATCCATATTATGGCCACGACTCGCTTACAGACGCCTTTACCCACCGGGTTCATAGGGTAGCAAATGGACAAGCATCTTTCCACAGAGATAGCCATCAACGTGTTTATTGAAGCGTTCACAGACACTCCTTGAAAGTACGGCACGAGTTTGCATATGACCAGTCCCAAACGCCACTCTATAAAAAAACACGTGATAAAAATCTATAAAGACAATACATAATAGTAATATATTTTATTTAAATGATACATCGTCAAAATTGTTTAAGTACTTCCGCCTAGTTCAATAAAACGGTACCACATTTAAGGCACTTATTCGGTATTTATTTGTTTACTAAATAATATCTTGTTACACAGTATATTATGATTCCTATGTCTAGTAAAACTTATAAGAAAAAAAACTCTASTAAATATAGAAAAAATAAATAATTAAATTTTTTAAGTTAATTTTAATTTTTGTTTTATTTGTTGTTTCGATATAATATTTCATGATTAAGGAATATTACGTAAATAATATAATTATATTGCGGGAGCCGTATGTTTCGATACTATAATATACCTGTTATACATATAATTGTATTCGAACGCAACATATATATAACATATATGTATATAGTGGTAGAAATTGAAAATTCGAAAATACACAATTAATGATTGCATAGCTGGTGCTTTAACTATACACAGTTGCTGCGCAAACAATCGTTTCCAATTTAATAATATTAACGAGTATGATTTTGGTTTGAAAACTGTACGTGCGCTTTACAGAGATTTTCTTCACTTCGAAAAACACATCATCAATATAAGTAAATGCAATTTCAATATGTCTACGCTCAAGTGTGTCGAGAGAGTACACATCGCAATCGATATTTATATTCCGTACACGTTTCGAGAAAAATTTACAGTTTGTGYACTGCATTTTTATTCCTTTAACTTTGACCTGTAAAAAGAGACTTTACTATGAGAATAGAATGCGTTTTCATTCGAGAAATTAGAAATTTTTTCTCATTTTACGTTTGTGCATCGCTAAATGAAGCATGTCAATTGTTTGACTAAAATTCTTTAATTTGTTTTTTTTTTTTAAACTTTGACCATTTCCATTGCACTATATTAAGACCTTCTTTGAACATGACGTCTTTAATGCACATGTTTAATAACTWTGTATTTTAAGTTTACGGCCAAATCCCTTTATGTTCTTAGAGAACTGCAGTACTCCGTGATTACAACCATACTCACCTGAACTTCAAGACTTAGCAATAATAAACTTTTATGTATTAAAAATTATTTAGATCAATCTTCATTTATTTTTTATTACTTTATAAATACTATATATTATTTTTTATTTAACTTTTCCCTGGACATTTAACTAGCCATCTCCAAACACGTTACAATATGTGTCAACTTAAAATGTTATTCATTTAATCAGACGTTATTGAAAATATTTTGTTCAACGACTTCAAGGGTTATAACTCTAATAATAATAGTATTATCATTAATTAAACATATATAAATATATATAAATATATTCTATGTATTTATTGTTATTTAACTATTTTTTTTTTTGTGTGTGTAACCTAATAACCTAGTGTTGTTGATGCTTAAACACGAATAAAAAATAAATAAATAAAGAATAATAATAATAATAATAATAATAATAATTGTATTTGTCAATGAATATTACTAAAAACTAGATTTAATTATAATTAAAGTGCATTATACACTGGTCTCTGTATGCATACTGTTTTCAACGTAAAGTAATTTATTGGAAAGCAATCTCTGGAGTGATTACCATCCTATGCCCAAATACCTTGCTTTCCTTACATGCATGTCCTAAAATTATTATGGTGTTGTTATTGATGACTTAAAGAGGTTTTTTTTTTAAATTATATACCTATAACCTAACCTAACCTGAAAATTATGAATACATAAAAAAAAAATTTAGGAAGTCAATATTATTATACATTTTTATAATCTACACGCAACGGGTTTATTACTGTGAATTGTATACTTATTATATCAGTGGTTCACAAACTTTTTCCATCAGGGCAAATTATTATTACCATTTATTAGTTACTATAAATGTTAGCAAACATTACATAGACATTGTCTATTTGCCTAAATTATGTACTTAAAGATCGGTTAGTTTGGTTGAGAAACACTGCATACTAGATCTTTAACTTGTTATAATAATAACAATGCTAACGACAACGATTTATGGACAAGTGAATAATTTCGTTTTTGATGAACCGAATTCGTGCTGCAGTTTAAAGTGAAGTGTGTATAATAATAATAATAATAACAATGTATATAAAATAAATAGTCACGGCTGGCACTCGTCCTGCCGCCTATTCACCAGAAGCGGGATGAGCAGAACTATTGGATAAAGTTTGCGTTTCCGATTGCTTTTATTGTGATATAATTTTTGAAGTTAACGCTCAATGCCGTATACTTCAACTGCTGTATACAGCATAATAATATAATTATAATAATAATAGTAATATATTATACACGCTGGCCGTACGATTGTGTATGTTCGTTATCGGGTATTCAACRCATGGACGTAGCTGAATTGCCTATACAGGGCGCCGTCTTGTTAAAGCTAACGTAGCAGTATTATATTATTATACGAACGATAGGTCGTCAATAATGATAAATAATTAATTCCAAGACTATGGTTAGAAAACGATGGATTTTCTCGTATTTATATGTAAAATCTGCCGATATAAATACGGTATTTTTCGAACGTTATAATAATTACGGGTCTCTAAATCGTGTGCCACGTATATACTATATAATATGTTATCGTTTGGCGKGTGTACCGCAATAAAATATTTTCATTATTATCTCTATTTTGAAATCAGATCAGAGTGCGAAAATGTAGGCGTATACGTGGTCCACGAAATGCTACCTATATGATATATTATTATAATATATTGTTGTATTATAATATAATACCCATGACCGGAAAAGATTATTTTGTACTTAGTAAGCGAAAAAACGACGTCACGCGATGCCGTTAAATTCCTATAATAATAATAACAAAAATGGTGATTTGTACACGTACACGCATTTACTATTGTTTTTTTAAAACAATATTATTATACCACCGAAAACAATGACGGGAATCGTACATTATTAAACGACGCGTAAACTTTAAACTTAAATTATTTTACAAATTGCTTTTGTCGTGATGTGAGTGATGTGGAAGGAAAGTGTGGTAAGTGCGTTAGATCAAAATATAATTCACTTAAGCCTTAAGGTACGTAAATACATAAACGTCAATCGGGTTTGACGAATGACATAAAAAAACATAGTAAATAATCTGGCACAAAGTTTGCTGATAATCTCCTCAAGTTAATTCAAACCGATATAATTTTATAAATCACAATCGTATAAGTTATTAATATTCTAGTAGTATGTTACACGTATGTTTAAAAATAAAATATATGCGTGTTTCAAACAAATGTATGTACAATATAAGGCATGAAGCTTAGAAATTCTAAAATCGTCTTCAAGTTAGAAATGAGTAAAAATAAAATTATTAACTATTTCTAAGTAGTTTTAATTTTATATAAAACGTGACAGCAGTATTCAACATTTCATACAATTGTTTTCAGAAATCTGACTTGATATTTAAATTATAGTATTATTATTATTCATATGAATTTCATTAACTTCTGTTTTATGAAAATATTAAGATATTTTTCTGTTTAAATACCAGAAAGATAAGTTAATGATTTAAAACGTGGACGTGTAATCACACAAAAGTCACTTTGGTGAGAAAAAAAGATTGTGGTTCATGCAAATAATGTTGATTGTTTTCACTTCGATGAAATATAAGTAAAATCCAAAAAACTATGAACAAAGTAAAAGGAGATAAAAAAAGAATAAAATCATTTAGTCTTATAGTTTACAACATAGAAAACAATTCTTTAGAATATTAGTGTTTCTGTTTGTTCAATATAATATTATAATATGTAGGCGTAAAAATTATTTTTTTTTTTATTAATCGACCCATGGCAACATACACCATTGTGTAAGGGTAGGTACCTACATTTAGGGCGATGAAGATTGATATGGTTGGTTTGAACACGTGTGTAAATTTTTCATTTTTGTTTTACTTATAAGAGATCATGTAGTCATAAAAACGTATTATAATATAACAAATCACAATAATTTTGATACCTACATAGATAATACATTTTAAAAATAAACGGAGTAATCATAAATTCGTTAAGTAACATAGCGGGATTTAGTGTACTATTTGGCGAATATCTCTGTATAATGTACGACAAAAAAGTATT